TAGGGTTTATTTAACTCTTTTCTCATCTCAGTCTCAACGGCCAAGAAGATTAAAAATAAAAATAAAAATAAAAATAAAAACCGCTTTTGTAGGCATTTTCACTCTAGAAGATTGGGTTGGGATAGTGTTTTAAGAGTTAAGGCCGTAGTTAGGGAAAAGAAGGAAACAACACTTGAAACTAAACTAAAATTAGAATAAAAAAGAAAAAATGGCAACAATGACATCTTTAAAGAGAAAAAACTAAAAATTGATATTTTTAGTTATAAAAAATTGAAAGTTGACAATTTTATTTAAAAATTGCTAAAGTTAAATAGAAAAAAGTGTAAAGTAAATATCTTTATTTGCACTTTTTTTCTCTAAACTTGAAAACTTATTAGTGGAAAATTTCACACAAACTCTTGGTGCTCATGAGTTAAATCTTTTCATAAGTGGTGTGAAGAATAGAATGAAACATTAATTTTAAAAGGACAGGGTGCTTTGAGTTGAGATTAAATGAGTGAATGAAAATTCATAAATGTTTGATATTTTATATCTAATTGATCTTTAATTCCTATTCTTCTTTGCATGTATACTATGTAGTTACATTTTTATATTGGGATTTTGTAGGTAGATCTAGTGAAAACTCTCACCAAACAAAACTCGTCTATTAGGGTGACCTAAGGGTTTAAAGATTTGTTACACATATTAAGTGCAATCGTGATTTTTTATAAAAGTGAGTTAAATTTTATTTTTATCTTTTTATTTTGTTCAAGAACTAGTAAAACTTAAGTTCGGAGAATTTGATGAGAAGCATTTTATATGCTTTAATCTATTGTATTAACTTTAATTTTATTATTATTTGTAAGGATTATTATATTATATTAGCCTTAATTTTATTATTATTTGTAAGGATAATATATGATTTTCAATATATTTTACACAGTTTTTATTTTTATTTTCAATAATAGGAGTTTTTTGGGATTAATTGAATATTTTTTGAAAGTTTAGAGACTAACTTGTGAAAAGAAAGGTTCCTTTTTGGGATCTAAATGAATGAATTTTAAGTAATGGGATCAAAGTGTTCATTTTATAAAAGCTATAAGACCTAATTGTGCTATTTTACCATTAAAAAATTACAAAAGGGATTGAAACCCGACACGGGTACACTGTCAAGACATATTTCATGATGTCAGTACCATGCGTTAAGCCTTCGCTAAAACAGGTTCGCGTGATATAACTAGAAGTGTCAATACCTAGATGCTGGTGTTAACACCAAAAACACGTCCAGCTTTAGCAATTAG